TCTAAATCCGAATGAAATCAACATATTGGAACCTATATTACAACTTCCAAATCAATACTTTGATTTTGATAAGCGCGGGAGAGGGGTATATTTTTGATTTGGGGTTAATGAATACAGCCAGTATGGCTTATAATGTACTATACATATATACAACCAGCTGATTCGACAAAGTTTTTAGTGCACAACAATCAGAAACTTATTGTGTTTTTGAATAAATTAATCCGGTCACACACAACTACTAGGTAGATATATTATCCGTAGGTACTTCATAGTTTATACCACTCCATTTTGAATTATATTTTATGGTTTCAATGAGTTTTCAACCAATCGCAAAAGCAGAACCATACGTATCCAACTTTACTATAACGTAACCGTTCGAAGTTACAAGCATTCCGATGGAACCGAACGACGCGACGCTGGCCAGCACTATCCGGCCCTGCAGATCGACCGCCGTTATACCGTGGTATAGGTACACATCGATTGTGTTATCGAATGTCATCGATCGATTTATGCGCATTATAATAATACACTCGCTGCAGCTTCGGATGACGACGGACGTGTGTCGGGAGATCGACGTTTTTATTTTCTCTCCACGACTTGTTAAAATGCATACCCATATAACGCGTGCATTATTATTATTATTGTCGTGCGTCTCTCCGCCCGAGGATTTATTATTTTTCTTTCGAAAATGTGTCGGATTATATTATACACACACACACACACACACGCCATGACATGACCGAGGTCCTTCGGGCGAGGTATTATTTAATACATATAAAGTATACCTTTATATTATATATATCGTGACCAAGGGTCGTCATCGCGCCGTACCACGTGCATGTATATACGTATATATATATATATGTATGTGCACAAGCGGCGGTGGAAATTGTAGGTCTCATGACATATATATTATATATGTATATACATATTATATATACTTGACAGGTCACAATAAATACGGTCGATCGTTCTTGTAATATACAGAAACGGTCTTTTCACGGACGAGTAAAGTGTATACATATTGTAATAATGAATATTATATTCCTTTATCCGTCTTCGTATAGCGACCAGCGCCGCCGCGTACGCACACAAAAAGGATTTTCGACCACTGACGAAGTGCAGCTGACGCATCATTATTATTATTACACGGATCGCCGGCGCGACACGTCGCTGCTTTATCTGTGAACCCGTTACCGTGGAAAATTTCACACGTACACAACAATAATGCGATATTATGCGATCATAATGCATTTATAATGGGCTCGGCGTCGTCCTTCGGAGTGCCGAATTCGGACCTAAAATAACAAGTGTGCGGATACTCGCTGTCAGTGCAGGTACCAGGTCCCGGGTAACAATACGTATAATATTATTATGGTCATAAACCTACCTATGTGACGGTGTACCAGTTCGCAGTATCGCAGACTCGCCTGCAGTGAGTCGACACGGGACTGCAATTATTACGACGTCAATATTCGATTCGTGGCTTGGTATCTGACTTCAGTCACAAAACGTGATCTGGGTGACACTATTTCCCAGATCGGTGATCACCCGGGTTCCTAGTGAAAAGTCCTTGCCACACATACACGTGTTCCGAAAAAATACAGTTTACCAAAACAGTCCAATGCTGAATTCACCCTGTATGGGTATATGCAAATGCAGCGCGGGAGTCGTGGCTCGTGGGGCACATTTTCTAGGTCATCCGCAAAGCATATCATAATATATTATAATAATATGCTTCATATAATCCATAAAACCAACTCAAGCTGGATATTGATATTAATCGTAATCCAAATTGTTTTTTTAAATTAATTTTTGTATCAATTTTTATTGTGTCATCAGAATAAAAAGTTGAAACAATATTGATCTCTACTCCGTCATCATCGTCGAGCACGATTTATCATATGCATTACGCCGTATTTCCATAATAACCCGCACAAGCAGAAGTATGATTTGTTCCGACGGACTGCAGTGGAGATGAACGTGTGGGCATAATAGGTAGGTACCTATAGGTCCTCGTAATATCACTAGGTACGTCATCGCTCAATGGTGGTGAAATCCAAAGTATTTCGTCTGTATAGACAGTGAACCGGACGAGGGACCGGACTAGGAAAAACCGTTAGTAATACGTATATTATATCATTATCTGTATAGAATAGTTCAATAGTGCTTGTGCGAACGTGACACTGTCCTGTAGCGCCGGGACGAGAGAGCCGACTGAGCAGCAGCTGCAGCCAGCGACGTCCGTTCGGCGATGATATATTGTCGTCGTCGAAAAAAACGATGTTTACTCTGCCGGGCGCGTTAAACGAAAACAATAATAATAATAATAATATGATGCTAGAAAAACGCGGAGAAAAAAAACACACATGCACACGGACGTACTGAATATACCAGCTACGGTATTTTATACGGGTTTTTAATGGGCTAATAACACGGTGGTTATAACACACACACACACACACACGATCTATAATATAATAGGGAGGTATGATGGGTATATATATACAATTATACAACGAACCGGAAAGAAAATATAAATTAATTCGGTGTCTTCTCCTCGTCTCATCCGCTCTCTATACCTACGACCGCCATCGCGTGCTGGTATATCTATATTACGATATTCATCAGCGCATATATATTACTAAGTATATCATTTTGCACAAATATTTCGATTGCGTTCGGACGTGTGGTGAAGACCGGAAACGCGACAATTTATTAAGAGTGGAGACCAACTTGAAAGATGGGAAGAGGACCACTGAGAAAGCGATATAGATGAGTTGGCTGGCAATTTAAGCGACGGGAGATCACTGGCAGTGTCGGTGGTAGAGTATAAGATTCTTGAAAAGTCATTGTGATTCTGAAAGGTGAAATTATAATATTAAAAGTTCGCTAGATTGTATTTTCGGGGGCGTTACGAGTCGTCGCTATCAGATACTTCTAATTTTTCGCTACCTATATATTAACTATATGCTGCAGGTAAGGTTCAGCGGTGAGCGGTGACCTGTATATGAAATATAATACACTCAAATCTCTTCCATTTAAGTACTTATAATATGTTCGTTTACTCGTATATGTGCACTCAATTTGTATTCGTTTCACCGTGCAGTCATTATACATTTTGTTTTTAAATTGATATCTATATTATATTACACGATAAAGCTAATCTGCAGTAAATAATATAATCATACTATTTATCATAAGACGTTAACACACGAATTATACATGTATCGCATGTTACAGTTGTTGAAGAGTACACCGTAGGTAATAATAACATGGTATACCATTCGGCTTCACGCCCCTCAAAACCGCGGTCACCACACACGCCACTTAGGTTATGGTCAATTTAGGTAGGCATCTACTTATAAGCGCAACGTTCTGAGGCCACGTCGAACAAAAAAAAATTGTACTTGTGCATTTCTTTCAAACTCACACGTCATACTCGTTTACATATTATTATATTACATAGTATAAACAATAAACGTAGGTATTCAAACAGCAGGGCGATTGCTATCTGCAGTCGTCGTGGAGGTACCTGCATCTGTGCAGTGTCTCGTGTGTGTCTGCTAGTGTGGGTACTGCTGCTGCACCTGCCCCCCCGAGGACGTTTATTACGAGATAATAATAACTTCAAGACATGTGCACCGAGATCTGTGCCGCTAACGTGCACTCGGGGCAAGGGGGCGGAGGGCATGAGATTCGGTTTTTTTCCCCTCAAAATGATTATAATATAAAACACAATAATTTATTATACAGCTAGCTAGGTATATAATAGGTACATTGTGAAAAGCCAAGCATGTTATGTGAACACAATATCATAGGATACCGCGACCAAAGTACATAACCGCGATCCGCGGTAGGTATACAAAAGTATAATACATAGTCTTTATTATTATTATTGTTATTGATGAGTCGCGATGTGAGAAATGTAATAATATAACCTTGCCTATAATTACCAAGGAAGATAAAAAACTTTAAAATTTCAACTTTTAATATTCTAGAACTAATCACCCTTTTTTAGGACCATAATGTTCGACAAGTATAATAAAATATAGTTCCGAGTATCGCCTCTTAAATAATGCTTGTAATAACGTACCTAGCTTTGATTTTTCTTTTGATTCACAACTCAAACTAAAAAAATTTGATAATTAACATATTAATATTAATGAAACTTAAACCTACATGAATTTATTGTATATTATATTGTATGGACGTATGGTAGTCTTTACCCCTTTAGGCCTGTAGGGTGTTCCAACTTTAAGTAAAAAATACAAATAAATAAATGAAATAATATTATATTATAATTTATAAAATGATGTGCATAATCCGAGTGTATCGAGAACCGCGAAATCGCATTAAATATCACAATATCGTTTACGAAACGCCGTTTTGCAGGACGTACCTCAACGTAGCTATATTCTTCGATTTCCTCTGCTTCTGCACTTGACCTGACCTAACCTAATCTAACTACAGCAGTCGTGCAGTGATGGCCTTATCAGCTTTTAATAATAGACATTATATACGAAGACGACCAACAACAAGTTTGAGTACGACTGTAGGAAAAAAAACATCGTAATCGATATATCGATATATTAATTGATATAGGTGTACTCGAACATCCCAGGCGTTTGGGGCGTAAGTACACCGCAAAATAATAATAATAATAATAATAATAATAATAATAATAGGTCTATAGAAACTGGTCGTCGATATATTATCCACCGTTTCTCGAGGATCGAATTATTAATATTGTTTTTTAATGTATTCCGAAAACGTTGTTTATTTATTCAGTCGCGTTTATATACATATATTTATATATATATACTCCACAGGCGCCAGTGTGAAGGTCGTTTGAATAAATCAACGGAATTACACATACGTCCAAATATTATTATTATTATTATAATTTTCATTACCATAATATATCGTTGACCTAATTAGTCGGAAAAAAAATGGAAACAAATAATACACACTGCTATAATAATAGTAATGGTAATAATAACAATAATATAATATATGTATATTTATACGACGGGGAGAGAGCGCAAGTCACCGCGAGACTACCGCCGCCGCCACCGCCGCATATAAAATATTACAATACCGCAGCACTGCAACCCCGCGCGGAATCAATTGTTTAACACTCGCATTCACACATCGTGGTTATAACAAACACACACACACACACACACACACACACACACACACACACACACACACACACACACACACACACACACACACACACACAAGTGTGCCAGACGAAGTATTATGTTCTAACGATTCCGCCGCGGTGACGTATTTATACAAAACACAAAAAAGCGTTATTCGATGTATCACGATTTTCGGGAATGTTCCACACTTCACTATGTTTTTCATCTACTAAGGTCTAAGAGTACCTAGGAATATAGATAATAATTATATACCTATGTGCTGCAATTAGGTATATATTTTTTTGTATGCTCGACAAAAGCTTCGACTGCGTACTGCATTATGGTTTTAGTTCACTTCAACTATTAACAGCACAGAATAATACTATTACATCCTTATAAAATAGAATATAATAACAAAATGTCCGGAAAGTTTAGAATTTTCGGCTTAGACTAACTGCACGTTATGTAAAAATGAACAGATTTCTAGGGCGCAGTTCTCTTCTCATCGAGGGTTTGCATACGTATATTGAATCCGATGGGCAGTTGATCGGTACTTATATGAGTCATGATTAGTTTTTAGCTATATAGTATTATACATTGCATGAATGACATAATATACTTATAGTTTAATCCGAGTTTGGAGTTTATGGTCTATTCTTGCTCTAGTGACAATTTCAACTGTGTAATAATCAATTTTAAATTTCCAAGTTTTATCAGGGAGAGGTAAATTTAGCCAATACAACTGCTTACCTTCCATAATTTTATATTGGATAATATTAATTGTATATCGTTAATAGTTACTAATATATTGAGTGTTTTTGCAGACGATATCGTTGTGTTGATTTTCGTGGAAACTAAAGATAAGATGGCTTCTTACTGTCTGTAGAGTAAGTTTTCTCATTTCCGGGTATCCCGACAGGTGAACAGAGCCGTTCGAGAATTATCTATTTATTTTTTGTGTGATCTGTGAAACCCTACATTTTTACTAACTGTTTTAAAGTTTTCAAATATCGTGCGTCGCTTAAATAAGAGGTTGGCGTGTAAGGGATCGAACAGGATATTTCTGCAGGATGATGTGGTTCATAACATTTTTAATTTTGGTTACATATTTTAGCATTTCACTTTGGCATCAGTGGTGGAAGCCCCCTCTCGTCCTGGAAAGCTCATGTGGCCAACCTTGGTATACCTTGACTGTGAATGGGTCCTGCCGAGTATTTTATTATTTGTCATTATAATATAATATATAGAATATATTACATATGTGGTACACGAATAATATTACCTGTATCGTTATTATAAAAGTAACGCCGCCTCATGTTTACGATTATTAAAGCAATTTTTTTTCTATACCGACGGTATAGGACGACGGTGGAAACAGGTTAAACAATATATGCAAACGTCCATTGTTTAATATCATAATTAACAAGTGCGCCGAAATGGCACCGACGCTGACACCGACACTCACACACACACACGAGTATATATACCTATGTATATACATCACTTATTATACTATATAGGTATATTCGTGTTACATTTATATACGCGCAGCATATATCGCGTATTACCGTGGATACCATTGTTTTGGTAACCTATACCTACTTCTAAATACATGTACAATATATAACACTTGAGCGGACGACGTGCGTATATATTAAATAAATATATATAACCTACGGGGTTATAGACATTACACGTATTATTAAATAGCTAAATGCGGCGCGAGCGCAGACCATAATAAACTGCAAATTGGAATGAAAATTCAATTTTCAGAAGTTTTTTTGAAATTATTTGTCTCATCGTGAAAAAAAAGGTACAAAATTTTACAGAACTATAGTTATAACTCAAAAGCTAGTATACGTTTTAATTATAAACACTTCCTGTTGTTACGAAACAATAAAAACCGATCAATCACAATATTGGTTGTGTGCGGTATAATATCATCGTGAGAACACGGACGACGACTGCGATTTTCGCGGGATAGAAAAAAAAAACTAGCAAATGCTTTTTAGTTTTTATTTTCAGGAACAAGTGACTAGTATGCTATTGGGCTAATATTTATTTATTATTAAATGTATCGATGTAATCTGTCGAAGCTTTTTCACTCCTATAATAGGGCGCACCTAAAACAATATTTTCTGGAAACCAATAGGATATACCTATCATATAGTTTTTTGAGTTTTCCAAATATTTCTCTGATCACTAGAGTAAACTATAACACATACATGAGATAAAAAAATATTTTAAACAAAACGATTTCAACTATGGCTGACAATGATCCGGCTCACACCGCAAAACACTGATAAAAGCAGACGGATTTTCATCAGACGGGATTGTTACCGACTGGCGACTACTGCACTCTTTAACAGGTACGTGTCAATATGTATACACAATAGCATATCAATGATTACCATTTGTTTGTCGTAGTAACCGTAACATAATATATAATATGTGTAAAGCATTATTTAATGTTTTCTCGGTCTGATTTATTTTGGCCGGAAACTATTGTAATAATAATATTGTATGAATTATTACCAACAATACCTATAACATAAAATATAATTATCACCCCAAACCATTTGTTTTTTGCTGAATTGTGATTCGCCGAGAACAACTACAGACTTGTCATTGACTTTTTTTTCCACGCCATGTGGTTCGTCGTCTGCGTACTTGGTGCAGTTCGGTGAACGTTTTGCGTTGACGGGTGCAGGTGTCGTGCACTGCGCAGGTCATCGTCGGAAATCGTAACGCTCTAAACACATTATATAGATAACAAATCAAATTAATGTTTTGATATTATTACAATCGCACAATAAAAATAATAATCACAATAGGTTTCGGTAGGGTAGGGCCTCGGGTACTAATATTCCATCCGTTCGCGTACAGCGATGATATCGATTGAAAACACCATAATACAGTGATTGAAAATATATTATATCGGCCGCCGATCACGAATTTGGGTCACTTAATTTTTCCTACGCCGCTGCACGTCTGCAGAGCACACCCATATGGTTCAGTATATGTATAAAATATAATAACCGACATCAGTTCAAACGGCGAGACGAATTGTTTCTACAAAACGCTATTGTCGCGGTCGTCGAACCCCCGCCGCCCTGCCGACAACCGTTTCGCCCGCGGCTTTTGAGCTTACCGATTATTAGACGACTGCTTCGATATATATACGACGACAAATCGATCGTTTGTACCAGTATTATATTATAGTTGTAGGAGGTACCTACTAATTATTTCACTACAGCTGCACAATCGCGGACGATATAATGTGTTTGTTGCGGTGTACAATAGGTAGGAGGTACTTATAGTATACCTATACCATGGTTATGCTGCAGCATTGAGGTGACAACGGTGTAACAGCATAATATTTTTTAGTGACGTATCTCGGATATTTTTAAGGTAGGGTGCCATCAAAATATAACTACACATATAAATAAAATAAAATAAATTAAATTAAATTGTAACACCATCGACCAATTATGACTTACCGCATATTATGTACCTGTGGAAAAAACAACATTTATCATAATAATTATATTTTTATTTTTTATACTCGATTACAAAATAACTTGAATTTAACACGTGCTTGTGGTGGGGGTGTCATGCCCCCCCTTGTATACCTCACTGGTATTGTGTGGGTAGGCGTCTGCGTACAACAGGTACTCAGGTCCGTGCGTACACCGGAATCGCAAAAAATCGTATGATATACCTGTGACGCGTGAATTACCGCGGACGTGAAAACGATATCAAGCGAGTTGTCCGTTTAAAGAAAAAAAAATATTAAAATTTTTTTTCCCTCTCTTCCTGTCTGATCGTCATCGTCGTCGTTTTCCAAACGATCCACGCCCACGCGCCCACGGTTTTCGAGAAGACATATATTATTATAATGCATTCGATCCGGCAATGACGCGACTACGATGACGACGACGACGATGACGCCATATAACCTATACGTTTCGCGGGCATGCACGACCGCGCTCATGCTATAAAAAGCGTATAAAACGGAAATGTATTTTATATTTTAATCGTCTTTCCGCAAACCGGGCACATTTGCAGGGATTGGCGATAAACGATGGCGATAATATGCATTGTGTATATATGTATATAGTTATTACTATACTTTTACATATACAAACAATCATATGTAGCGCTCAAACTGGTTTGTGTCTCCGGCGTACGCGCGCGAGGTGTTCAAAAAAATGTTTTTGTCCTTCTCAAATCAAGTACGGTTTTGAATTTATATATAAAAAAAATAATAATTGTGCTCATTATTTCCTCACCTCTTGAAGAGTACTGCTGCATATAGCTGTTGTAGTCGTACTCGTACATAATACAATAAAAAAAAAAAATACGATTTGTTAAAAGTATCATGTGTTGCAATTTTTTACGGTTTTTTTTTACTGTTTTTGTCCAGTTACGCTTGAAATTGCCATTATACACATGTGCCGTGCACATTGATATTTGTTGGACACTATAATAACATTCTGTTATAGGAAATTGTCGGTACGTACCCATCTTTTTGATTAACTCACTTTGAAATCACTATAATTATGTCAACTTCATGGCTAGCATATTGCAATCGTGTCGAAACCTTACAACTGTCCAATTTATGTATGTGTCTCGTGTGTGTTGATTTGTTGGATTGCACGTCGTACGCAGGCAGTAAACCAAGAAGACAATTTCAGCGTTACTTGTTGTAATTTTCATAATTTTATAAACGATAACCAAAAATTTACCACCGCACTAAAATAATCCGAGACAATAATAACTATTGGGGAATGAATATTTTAGTATTTTTTTTTTCAAATCTTTTCGTTTAAGAGTATCCAATATTTCACGCCGATCTATACCTGGGTGCTGCTATATGTGTGAAGAAGAGTAGGATATTATATTCGATAGCTGTCCATAGACAGTTTTCAAGGGTGGGGGGCAACCTATAAATTAAGATGTTGATCATTATTATTTTGTAGCCAATGAGAGTGATTGTATGCCTCAAATAATGTCCCTTCGACCCCCCCCCCCCTCTTGGAAATGCACATGAGTTACTGTCGCCGTACGGTCTGCCACAATAATATATACCATCATCACGTATTCATTATCGTCAAAGCTCTGAGCGAAGAAACGCGTTGAAAAAGATAGAGCACCTATAATATATTCTGTTACCGTGTCACACCGTAAAATCTCATAGATCGCACAATATCGTCAAACAGCGTGAAAGTGCACCGACGTGCACACTTTTACAGTTTACAGTTTTTTTTTTACTGAATAGCTAAAAAATCGTCTGTACTAAAAATAAAAATAAAATAATGTACAGTTAATATTATTATTTTGCTTGCGTAATTTTTTTACGGGATCTCGACAGTTGAAGCTCTCCATGATAATATATACTGTACTTACGATCACTGACCAACATCATCATTATTGTATCGTCAATCGGAGACTATTATTATAATGCATTATTGGATATATTATTATTATTATTACTACTATTATGATGTATACGAATTGGAATCTTATATGGAAGCGCGGTGGACCACTGGCTGGGGTGGCATATAACTATATTATGTGTGCGTGCATATGCGTATAGACATATAATATATTATAGGGTTCCCCGAAAACGAAAAATGTAAAAATCAACCCCCACACCTCGACGGGGGTACACACGCTCGTGCGTTGTAGAGACGGCCGGCGGCGGGACGAACACGAAATAATATAAAACGCTTTTATCCGTATAAAATACTATTACGCCGCGGCTGGTGTATAGGATAGGTACGCGCGCGTTTCATGCGTGCGCGAGTACATATAAAATAATAAATATAATTTTTTTCTTTTCACACACACACACACACACACACACACACACACACACACACACACACACAACCCCCGTATAAACTATACTACGCACGCCGTCCGATCGCGGCCCAGGGCTCGCCGTTCCTCTCCCGGTCGGTCCACCACGACGACGACGACGGCAGCTGATTTTTTCGAATCATTGTGTCGGGTATATGATGGTGCGTGTATATAATATAATGCGTTATATACGTATACAGTAATATACACGGGCCGCTGCCAAACGCTCGCGTATATCCCATTGTTACGGTCATGTCTCGACCATAACTCGGTCCACCCGAAAAATAAACGGACAAAAAAGAAAGGAAAAAAAAAACTAAAATACCGAAATCAAACACACACGCACACACGAGCTCATTGCGTATATTATGTGTGTAAAGCCGGTAAACCCGTATACACGTGTATAATATATTTATATAGAGGAGGTTCCTACCTATATATTACTATTATGTACATTATAACCGCGACACTCGAGCGTCGTGGGCCGCAAGGATTGCCGCGGCGGCTGCCGCACACAGAATGTGGAATTCGTGGATACCTGTTGCGCGTCATCCTATCATTTATATATTATTATGTGCATATATATATATATATATATATGAACAATAGCGCTCACGCACACCGCACACACCCGCGGGTACCCGCTATATATATATAATACATATACATAATAAACGTGTCGTGAATATTTGCACGAGTCGTATACCTATGTAATATAATGACGCGGTACGTACTCGAGGTATACCTGTACATATATACCTACGTCGCGGTATACGGAACGGAACACCGGTAGCCGGGACTCGAGCACACCGCGGCGGGGAGACGACTGTAGGGGGGTCATCGTGGTCATCGTCGGTCCGGTGGCGGGTAGAAAAATAGCTCGAAACAATATCGACGGTCCAGTAGAGATGCCCGGGTTAATATTAAAGTGGCTTACACGACGTATACGATTAACAGTACAGGTATTACACTTATTATACCTAGGCAGTGGGTATACGCATAGATGATATAATATGTAATAAGCTATGACGTATATGGGAGGTCCGATCGCGTCCGTCCGAGAGCCTTGTAAAAACGCCGTTGAAAATTTACACCTTCCTCCGTTCTATATATGTGTATGTATTAAACCGGCCGTATACCTTATATACCTACCTACGTATAGATATATGTCGTCGTGCACACGCATATAAAGCGCGTGAACACAATAACGCGGGTCTGCTAGGACGGGCGGCGGTCGAGAGACTGCTCGAGTGTGTGTTAGCGTACATACATACGTATTTATACATAGGTATATATTATGTATAAAATAAACATGATGTGTACACTCACGGTCCGAAATGTGTGCTGCGTAAACGTCCCCTCGGCACGACGTTATTATACATATATATATATATATATATGTATGTATTTGTGTGTACAGAGTGTTGAGCTAGTACCTATGTGCGTGCGTGTGTGTGAGTGTGTGTGTGCGTGTGTGTGTGTGTTAAAAGCCCTCCGCGTTCGTCGTTGTCGGTACAAGCCGGTCGTATATTATAATAATGTGTGCGTGCGTGTGCTCCGTGTGTGGTTTGCGTCCGGACCTGCTGCTGCAGCAGTGTCGTGTGTGTGGGTCATTCGCGCCAAAATGATGATGATAATAAATATTACACGAGAGCCCGGAAAACTCGACAGCTCGAGTAATAATATAATGGCATACCAACGTCATACGAGGTATACTGGGTATAGTAGTCGGTCGTCAACAATTGATTCGAGGACGCGCGGGAAGATTATTTCGTGCCGAGGTTAAAAATTCAAAATTTTTTCTTAATGAAAATACTCGTCATTCGTTTTCCAAAAATATAATTTAAATCAGTCCCCCTCCGACCTATCCCTCCCCCGCATGTAGCCACAACTGACAGAACTCGTGACATTGTAATGACATTTAAACGCATCGGGTCTTCCTGCAGTGCGCTGCTATTTTAGTATTTTACCATTTAATATATTGCATCCTATTACTTCAAGTTTATAATTATAAATTGTTTCTACGTGAAACGTTATTACAACACAAAGCATGTCGACATGTAGCCATGTAGGTATGTTATATAGTGTATAATATATAAGTGTGCTGTATTACCTGTTATTAACGATTTTCAGCTGCACATTTTCACCGGTATACGCAGCGAGTAATATAAAGAGTTTTCGGTCGACTCGTCTCCACATAATATACCGACCTTAAAGTAGCAATAATAAGAAAAAAGTAAACGATGAAAGAATAAATTAATATACCTATTTTATATTATTACCGCATACCGTGTTGACCCCTGTGGTTAATGTCTTCTCAGGCGGAAAAACCGTACAATATAATGTATAACAGCTGACCAACCCCGTCACCCCTCCCCCCCCATATTCTGGACAATAACAAGCGACGTCATCGGATGTCTCTCGAATCTTGAAATTTTGTAAACATCCAGCTCCAGAGAGCGATTGTTCGCGCCTGAGGGAAAAATAATCATCGTCACTAGAATTTGTTATTGCTTAATAATCGTTATGGTGACAGAGTTTCGTCAACGACATGGCGACGAGCGTGACAACATAATAGTAATAACAATAATAATAATAATCGCAATAACATATAACATTATTACGTCCACGACGAAAAGGACCGAACTATAAAGACACTTAAGTATTTAGGACGCGCGGGCGTTCACGACGTTTTCGATATTGGATTGAATTGTCTCCCCGTCTTATTTGTATATTATTACAATAATAGTATATATAGGACGACAACGAATACGCCAACGGGTTTTTAAAGTCGTCGAATTTCCCGACGAAAAGGAAAAAGGTTTCGTTTAAAAGTTTACGGTTTCCTCTCGCGACAATACAAACTGTGCTACAGAAACGAATAATAATTTAGAATGTATGTGTGTGTGTGTGTGTGTGTGTGTGTGTGTGTGTGTGTGTGTGTGCATGTGGCGCGTGTTAGCGAGTGTCCGACGAAATTATTCAAATGCGCTCGAGTACCTATATACTGCAGATAAACATATTATTATTAAACTCGTCGCAGTAAAAAAAAAACTTAGTAAAAAACTTCCCGGGACCGTCTCGTTAGCGGCGGCAAACGACTTTATCGACGGATTCGATCGCGACTGCGTAGGCACACCGCGCGATAGAGGTTCGCGTGCGGATCGATAAACGGCGCAGATATAGATCGCCGTCACACATGATATAATAGTATATATGATTATTATAGGTGTATATACGAAAACTATGTATTTTTTATTATATACATACACGTGGTGGATGTATATCTATATAATAAAAAGGTATAATATACAGTGCTCGTGGGATTGAGGGAGAACGCGGGGCGGGGGCGGAGTTCCTCTACTTTAAAAAAAAAATATATTTATGGGTGCCCTTTTAACTATATGAACCCATTGGGATTGTTGATTACAATAAGGCATATTTTAAATATATGCAAGGAGACAATTTCTTTTCACACTTTTGCACTACCCGTCCTTTTTATTTTTTCACAATTCAAACGCTGTGTAGGACAATACGTCGATCTATATCAGCTGTTGCGTTGTACCTATAAATAGACACAGGTATCATTTTTCTCTCAGACTAACATTCATTTACATCCACATATGCACCATGAATCAATCGCTTATTATATTATATATTACGACGCGGATCGCCAACGAGATTGCCAATCCATTTTTTGATGGTAAGTGCGTATATTTTATCATTATTATGTAATCACTTTATATATAATTATTATCAATGTATTATTCTTATTCAACCTACAGGTACGTTGTTAGTAGTAAGTTATTAATATTAATATTATCTATAGGCTATATTTGAATTATCTCATAAAACATGTATCAATAGGTTACTTATATATAATACTTGTTATAAAACTTTGGACTTTGGCCCATATTTAAGAAATTAAAATATCTATCGGCATGGGTGCCAAAACGACGTGACTTCGAGAGCTCTCCAGTCAAGATGTGTACCGTGGTTTTCCGGCATTCCACGATCCACCCTACCTGCAATCCCTTCAACCACGCATAATAATAAATATACCTATATGATATTATATATTATTGTATTATACTGCGGAGGGTGTCCCGCAAGGTTCATTGAGCTCGCACTCACACACACACATAAACACACACGCAGACACTCTGTCGGTTTCTTTCTTATTTTTTCGTATATGTAAATATAAATATATATATTAGGTATGTATATATAATACGCGCGTATGTGTGTCCTGCACATAGTCTTTGGCTCGGATGTGTGTGTGTGTGTGTGTTCATTATTGAATAGCCTCGGCGGCGGCCGGCTTTTTTTTTATACTTATTTTTTAAACCCGTCGTTGTAGTAGTCGTCTTCTTCGTCTTCGTCGTCGTCTTAGCCGTCGCCGTCGCCGTCGTGTAACCCACCGCGACGGACACTATGTGCTCGTGTGTGTATATATACATGCACATATATAGGTACACCTCTATCTATATAATAGTAATAATATATATAGGTACGGCCGTCGGATGATGCTGCGGGTACGGCGGCGGCGGCATCGGTGGGGGGGGGGGGGTGAAGTACGGCCGACGACTACCGCGACGCGGCGAGAGGCAGAGAGACGCGCGCGCACGCACGCACGCAAACAAACGAGCCGTAGATTCTCCTCCGTCGCCCGTTCTCGACTGGATTCTTTTACCTTTAGTGTATATGACACGTATTTTTTTTATTATTATTATTATTATTATTATTATTATTATTTTAAACGATGAGACGGTTTGCATCCGTCCGCGCGCGCGCGCTCGCCCGAGAGCCGTTCGACAAAAATGTTTGTATGCGCTAGAAAGTAGCTATTAAAAAAAAATAAAAAACGGGGAACGGCTTTCTTGGTCCATTGTGATCTTGTGTGAGCGTCTGTGTGTATGCGTGTGTGTGTACAATAAGTATAATAATATCATATATTGTATGCGTATACCGTATATCGCTGCCGCCTTCTCACAAAACCCGCGAGCACGCGTAACGTCCGCCGCCGCCGCAGCACTGATTTTTTTTTTTTTGTCACCGAAACGATATAATACTATATTATATTATTACAAGTTATATGTATTATATTGTATATTTGTTTTCGTTTCGTTTGGTTCCGATTTTCGATTGTTTTCACCGGGGGCGCACAATGCATGTACATACGGTGATGAGCGGCGGCGAGGGGGATGAGAAGGGTCTGTCGTCCGAAGCTGCGAACAATGGGGGCTTAACACACGCGCGCACACGTGGGTAAACGACGAAAAAAAAAATAATAAAATGCAATAATAACCGACGGACGGTGGACGGACCGACGGACGTGTGTATTGATAACAATAGTATAGCGCGAAATCGGATTTTTTTCCCTCCCCGCGATTCGAGACGGACCGATCGCTGCTCTAAATTCGAGGCCCGGGGGTGACGGCAAAAAACCGCGGGTCTTCCGAAAAACAGTACCAGACAAAAAAATATATAAACGAAATACTACAGAAAAAAAATGGAAAAGGGGTCGTCGAGGGCTGCTGCTGTGGCGGCGGAGAGATCCGACAAACGAGTTATATGCGCTCGCGAGATAAATGCTCGGCGATAATTTTCGCGGCGGCACCGACGTCCGGGCGTTGTAAAATCATTACGACAATAATAATTTTACTCCTCAGCGGCGGCCCCCTTTGCACACGGAAGTCTGTAGCAGTTGGGCCTCGCCAAGCCGGTGTGTTGTACAATTCCCCAAAGTCTTTAAAATAAAAAAAAAACCCACCACCACCACCACTGCCGCCATCACCATCACCTATATAATATATATACGTATGCAAAGGGCTTTTCCACCGCCGCCGCCCGTAAGAGCACACGTTCGGTTTAATTTATTCGAGGGTATGGGGAAAAATGAAAAAAAAGAAATGGAAAATTATATATAAGGGGAGAACCAAATTGCTATACGGTTAAAAGAAAACAGTTTTGTCGGCCTTTTCGTTATTTTATATATAATATATATAATGTACCTACAGAGAGAGAGAGAGAAAGAGGAGAGAGAGATATAGAGTGAGAGAGATCTGCAGGTGGGTATAGGCACCAACGCGGCGGCAGCGGAGTGGGCTTCTTTTTCTTTTAAATTATACTCGCGGCGGCAGAGAAATATATCGTCCGCTTTATTATCGGAGCGAAAGCAAGCAGTTTTCAACCTTCGAGTTTTTCCACTCTTCCTTGCTTCAACGCGATTCGCGAACGACCCGATACGGTATTATTCGTTGTCGAGCACACAATATTGCATATTATATATAATATCCGGTCCGGTCAGTGCAATGCGACAATAATAATGACATTATTATATAGGTATATGCGGTTGAATCGCGTCGTCGCCGAGGTCGATGGCGAGGGGAAAAAGATTTGAAAAAATTTACAAACCAACATCGATCAAAAATAGTAGATATTAGTATATAATATAATAATATTAATACCCTATAGATTTAAAAACCTAAACAATATACGACCAATAATTAGCTACCCTAAACACTACTCTGCAGACTTCACTTAAAAAAACACACCCTGTAACCTTTTATAATTTCCGAGTTCCGAGCTTGAAACGTCAACGGAGACCAGAGACTAATAAAAAACATAATGTGTGACAAAATAAAAATCAGAGTTGCAGAGTTCTATCAATGGACAGGCGCGAGGCGGTTTCCCTCGTGTCTTTCCATACTAAAAATGTTATTTATTATTATTTGCACAATGCACATTATCCAATTTACATAATTATTGTGTTTAAAATACAGATCGTAAGGTGCAGCTTTTAAGTGTGTGATTTTATTCATTTAATTGTTTTTGGTCATAAATTATCGTTCATCGATACATTTTTGTTCATTTCGCGGATGGGCCGACTGCAGTCGATTAAATTGTTAAGGTCTCGGTGTCGGTGAAAAAATCGTAAATATTGATAAAATTACTATCGTACGTCTTATGATATTATATTACGGCCGCAATAACCTTGTGCTCTGCTCTTCGCTGTGGCGGCGTACGCCAACTTGCGCGACCTACTGAACTAGTTGTGCTTTCCAAAAAATCGTGGGACGTTCGTACGTGTGTGTAGCCGACCGATACAGGCGCGGATCCAGCCCGAGATTAGGGGGGGGGGGGCGAATATTTTACATACAAAATAAAATATCTAATAAAATATAATATGTGGCCAAGCGCACATATTTGTGTTCAAAAATAACTTACATGAAACAGTTATGGTTAATACAACTTTATAATCAATTGATAAATTCCAAATAACGATTACTTGTTAAAAATGAACGAAAATAAAATCCGAATCCACCGTTGAAAAGAAGACGTTTCACTGAATAACCACGTATATAAACGGAAGAATTGATCTGATAACCGAGTAAATTATAAGGCCAAAAATAAGCCTATACAAATTGACAATTGTCTACTATCCGTCGACTGCGGCACTCAACGTATTAAAATTAGTTTTAAATCTTTTTACTGGGCATTTTTCCTAAACAAAACACAGTTTACGGGGGGGGGCGGCCGCCCCCTCCGCCCCCTACTGAATCCGCGCCTGGACCGATAGCTTTAATATAATAAAATATAATATCGGAAACCAGTTCTGACGTCGTGCGCAATCGCGCATTAACACACACACACACACACACACACACACACACACACACATTCGCGTGACATTCGCCTGTGTAATGATTTATTTTTTATTTTTATGTGAAATAAACGCGAACGGGTATCGATCGCTAGTTTGGAGTTTGTTTACAAAAATATTGGGGAAAAAAAACAATATCGAACCGAGCAACTCGTTTTTTTATGTGGAATCGATTTGGGTACTAGGATTTAGGATTTACTTTATGCAAATTACGTGCCTATGTATTACATAAATTACTATAAAATATAACAGCGTAGGATTTCGGATGTAAATAATAATGAGCTGCGCGCGCACATCTGACATCGGACATGATATCGTATTATACACCTATAATGATACAGGTACCTAATTATATTATAATATGACGTGTGCCCGTACACGTGGATACAATCAACGATTCGATTCGTATTTGCATATCATATTATATTATTATTATTGTTGTTGTTGTTTTATAATAATATTATGCAGTATATACCTATATAGTTGGTATCGCGGGAAGTGTTCCAACAAGACGCGAGGTAAAGGTACCAACTGGTATATACTTTATGCGCCTTGTAAAAAACGATACATAACAATATTATCATCTCGTGTGCTTTAGAGTTTAGATGAAAAATAAAAAAACAATAATACTCAATAGTACGTTTCGAAATAGAAACGTAACCCTACGTGCGTCATATAATTTATTGTCAAACATAATTTTATTATACCTTCGTATTTAAAGTACGGCCACGGTGGTATTTTCGAGGGCGATTCGCCAAACACGATCTGTGCTCAGTCGTAGCTATGGTATAATGTATTATGAACCAACACGATTTCCTTGTGGGATGACCTGCAGCGGACCTTTCGAATCGTCTAAATCTAAAACAAATAAAAAAAATTTAGCAAATAGCCAAATAGAGGTAGCTATAAGTAGGTAGGTAGCTAAGAAGTAGGTAGGTGTTCTGGTAACTATATATATATATATTTATAGGTAGGTCTTAAAAAGACAAATCTCGATATAACAATAATTGTGAATATTGCCCATATAATTATTGCACTTCGCAGATGATTGATGAATATATTAGATTTACAGAGATATTTATTTTAATAAATTAATATATCTACACTAAATTATTATTATTTTATTGTTATTATTATAGTTTCAATAACACATCATTATAAATTGTAACTTGTTGTTTACTGATTATTCAATTTGAATTTGTGTATAATGTTTATTTAATTAATATAGGAACAACTCGTTTTATATGGAACACTCTGCCATAGACACAAGTTATTGCATTCGACGTGGTAGATATTTATTGTGCAGTCAGTTTTTTTTTTTTTAATGATATCTGTTATCAATGTGTGGTCGTGTGGATTATGTTAAAGTAATAAGATAATTTAAAAAAATAGATATACCTTTACTTATACATGTTAATGCTTATTATCTTTACTGTTTACTGGGGTTAGGGGTCCCAATACACCTGCGATAATTTTAAATTGTTAACCTTTTGTTGGAAAAAAATTCTGTCCACCAAATTAAATCGCTTTTTGGTTCCAATGACGACCTAGTTAAGGCAGCCCTTTCAGGTTTAAAAACATGAGTACGCAGTTTCAGATTTCTGACGAAGTGTAGTGGGTATATTGCCAAGCGAGCAATATCTATATGCTGCAGATTTTATGTTATTATTAATATGTATAGGCTTATAATACAAACGTAGCAAGGAGGTTAGGTACACCTCTCGCTGCAGCATATTATATACAATTATTAACACAATACAATACTTTGATATGAAAATAAAAAAAATAGCATTTCTAAAGACCACCGCGGTCGATCATTTAGACATCGAAGTTAACCCATTGATGATTTTTCACGTGCTCGGACCAGCCGGGGCACCGGATATCCGCGTCCGAGGTCACCCGATGCAGCATACAGTGCAGGGAATTCCTAGACGCGTGTCCTCGCGCAGCGGATGTAAAAACCGCGTTATGTGTGCAAGTTGCGGGGGGGGGGGAGGGGGGGCGGGAGGCAAACCCACATATTTTTATTACTATTGTTGTTTTTATTTTTTTTAATTCCCCATAACGCTCGCTCGTGCGTTTATTGTTATAGGTTTAGAGTAACATAATATTATAATAATAATATGATACAATAAAATAATAACATTTCAAATTTATTTAACTTTAGGTACCTCTATACGTGGCTTCCCCGTCGGGCACACTAATCACATCTATATAGTGGGAAATCAAATCGAAGTAAATGCACATAATGCGTTGTAATTGACTCCTCTAATTGTGGCACCTCTTCTATAAATAAAAGGTGATTGATGCCAATGGCGGGGTGCAGGCGCTCACACTTTAGCATCTTCGACATCTCCAAAAGAAGTTTGGTCACGTGAGTAAGATCAGCTGATGATCTAGGTATGATGCAAGCATCGGATGCCATTGCCTATACCTAAACTGCACTCGTTAACAACTGTGTCAACAACATTATGAACTCTAAGTGTGCGGCTTGCCCGGACGGGGAGGGATCGAGCCGAGGTCTCGCGGCTTGCACTCGATGCCATCGCGGTTCGTCGTGATGACGTTGTCCAACAAAAAAGGACGACGAGAACCCATTACTTACCGAATCGTATTTTATATTTTTTTTTATTATTATTATTTTTTTTTTTTTGGCGGATGTGCCAGTCGCGGTTACGTGGCTCCGTTGTCGTTGTCGTCGTCGTCGCATAGTCGCAGAACAGTCACCGGTCGACGGAAAACAATGGGCGCACACACACACACACACACACACACACACACACACACACACACACACACACAGGTGGACACACAGACACGTCGTATACTTATGCTGAACGAGGGGGGGGGGGACCCGTTTAGAATGCACCGCATCGCGCGACGGTCGTTCCGCCCACGAGCGCCTCCAAAACGGACGTGGTGTAAGCTCGCGAACACAATCGAATCTCCGTTTTGTATTTAACGGCGCTCGCGCGCACACACGTATAATTTATTATTACGCGGGAATTTATAAATTTTTTTCCTCTCCATTCACTGCGTGCACAGTCTTTCGACGACGGCTTTTAATTATACCATTTATATGCATGCACGTTGATGTTATTATTATTATGTTTCGATCGACTCGGGCGTATATAATAAAACGCAGCAGTTTATTTCTATTCGTCTCCACACACGGCGGTCTACCCCCACACGCGTCCGCCATAACTTATCGTAACAATCGTTACTAATACAATAATATCGTAGTATTATTCAGGTAGGTAAACTGTACGTAGTATGGGGGGGGGGACACCGTGTCGGCGGGGTCATAATAAATATAACATTATACTAAACTACGATAGGTACTTTTTATTCGGCGTAAGCCCGTGCTATTTATATGAATATAGATGTAGGAGCAGCAGCAGCAGCAGCAGCAGGTGGATATTGTAGGACGGCACGAGAAATGACTGTATAACGTATATAAGTGCGATCGTAATGCGGTCCATCAGTTTTTAATTCAATATAGTGTATCAAACAATTTATTTTACGCAGACTAGATTAATTATACCACTCACATAACATTAGTATACTGCAGCAGTTGCAAAAAGAACGTCAGAGTGATGTCTGTTTTCTCACCGAAACCATGTTTATGCAAGCTTTATAATGTATAAATACGCTCTGAGCAAATCGATCTCAGCGGCATTTGTAAACTGAACGAGTAAGAGTGTAAGTGGTTATTTTTCTTTGAAACTGGCCAACTGATGAACATTAAAATTAAAAGAGATTTGTTGTGCATGAATGTATATTTTGTGCATTATTAATGTTATTTTATTAAAGTTTTATTAAAAATAGGAGACTTGACAGCGATGTAAAAATCTCTATATACTTTGATAGGCGGGCAGACTTTTTTGAGAGGAGGTCTGGCGGACCTTCGATTTTGGTTGGCTGTTTTATCCGAAATGCACTGAGAAGTTGTTATAATGTTTAGGTAGTGTTATTGTATGATGTATGTATATTTCATTAGTGCCCTAAACTTTTTCCATTTTAAATTGTTAAAGAAACTAACTATTACCTATAATCTTTATCATTTGGTTATAATTTATAACTATTTGTGTGGGACACTCGTCTTGTCACGTTCATAAGTAAATTTCGTAACAGGTCATGCTTGCCTACATTGAACAGCTTAGCTATAAACTGAGAAATTCGGAGAGTGATAAACTGATAATTAATAATAGCTATATTTATGCAGGATAATTATATCTACAATACGCAGATGAGCATTATAATGATGTGGATAATAATTAGAATACGGCAAAGACATCAATTGTTAATGTTATAGGCTATCGTCGTCTTGGGATATTTTTTTTTATATAAATAAAAAGTGATACCATGTAGCCCTTAAGTCCTAACCATATACAGGCAAAAGTATAATATACCGCTGATCGAAGTCGTATATTAATAGTCTATAACTACTATGTTATGCCTATGGTGTTAATAATACATTATATAAAATACCTATGTTGTAGCAGCATCAAGTTTATGGCCGTTAAAGAATGTGAGTATATTAAATAACACATTAAATTAACACGTCAGCGTATTGAAATCGTGGGGAGGGCGAGAGGGGAAATCATTTTAAAATTCACTTTTAATACGCGTCACTCTATGAAGAAAAGAAAAATATAATTTTACGTCTAGACGAATAGTAAATTATACATATATTATGTAAGGCATCGAGTGTTATTAACCATAAAACTATATACTATACACAGGTAGGTACACTCGTAAACCTATTAATTGTTTTACACGAAAACAATTAAAACACGATTAAATTATAATGACTGTTTTTTTTTTATTTTGCATACCATTTTATATATATTATACTGCAATATAGTGATGTCCGTCGATTAAACACAATATTTCAACACCTTCGCGTCTATAAATTATAATATTTAATATATTACAGCTATGGCTAATGGTGCGGTGAATATTAATGTTTTCGAATCGTAAACGAGATTTACATTTTACTTTCGAACTATGCCGATGCGTGTATAGTATTATGCTATTCAAATGTTTACCCCCATATCATTAATATTAGTGATATTTGATGAACCCTGATTTTTGAGAAGACGAACTCGACCCCGTGCGCCCCGCCATTCGCATTTATACATAGTCACCCATATCCATCATTAAAAAATTCTTGAACTTTAAAAAATGTATTATGTTAATAATTGATAAAGTGGCCTATAAAAACAATTTCATTTTATTTATTTTTGATCCATCATCATTACGTCTGTTACGAATTTGTACTAATTATTTCGATTTTTGAACCGAACCTAGTTACTAGGCATTTTCATAGAATATTTTGCAATGATCGGTCGATTTACACTCCAAGTTTGGTTAGGTTTTTCTAAATATCTTACAATTCTCAAAATCGTCAATAATTATTATACAGATATTATAGGTAGTCACATTGTATTTTCGTTTCGAGTGCGCACTGTATATTACAAGAAGAATTTTTTTAATCAATTTTTGCAGTTTAAATAATCAATATATATATATATCAAATCCAAATACCACTTAGTCACTGATCGCTGTAACTCAAAAACAACGCAACGTACGAACTTGAAATTTGGAATAGAGGTTCTTCTCATATTTTCACGGAGCCTTAAGAAATTATTTTCAAAGATGTTGCTTGTTAGTGGAGTAATTAACAATTATATTTGTACTGTGCGGCACGGCGGCCCGCGGTTATCTAGCTCCCTGCAACCTATCATTTTTGTCCTTCATGTAGATGAGAATTGTTCCGAGAAGTTATAGGGATATATATTGTAAGTATGAAAACAAAACAAAAACATACACGGGCGAAGCCGGGTAATTCTGCTATATTATATATAGTCAAAACATCGCGTAAATACCTATAGTATCGCAGGGTACATCAGACCTCTACCATGCCCATCGTGTGTTGACATTATTACGCAATCATTACAAAAAGAAGAATTTAATAACACGATTGTAACAATGTTTTTTTTTCCTCGTCACGCGTATGCGCAAGTCTTGGCAATGTACTGCAGCGCGTGTGTAATAATATTTAAAGATCTAGGTAATAATTACATTATTATTGTGTACACGGTTTGTGTATAGAGTGGTTTGCAAGAAAAAATAAATAATGATGGAATCTTCGTGGTTAGATATTTACCTACCTACCTATGTATATATAAAGATATGATAGTAATAAAAATGTATGAAAACGTTTCTTCATAAAAAAAAAACCCAGTCTACTGATGTTATTAAACTATTATTTTATATTATTATTTAGAAATAGTTTTATACTCATAACTCGATCTTGCGTACTTATCTGTCTGTAATAAATTGAGCATAGACCATAATATATTATTCGATTGAAATTGATATTTTTTTTCTCCGCCCGATTCCGACGCATTATAAACTTGACGCTTCGAAACATGACTTTTAATGCATCGCTCGTTTATCATTCATCGTGTATCTAAATAAGCTATATTACTGTATAATATTATGATGCCGATAACACGATATTGTCCTATAACAAGGTGGTCGTTTGTAATCTCCTATGTACAGAGTGTTTTATAAAGCGAAAGAGATGTTATTCGCAAGTTATAATTTTGCGTATAGTTTGATATTTGAATAATATTATAATAATTATTATAAGAGGTACAAGTATATTGTAGAAAAAATATTTGAATTCAACCAAAAAAAAAATCGAACGGGCTCGACGGTTGAGAGACAAAAAAATACACAATATGCAAGTGCTAGTGTAAATTTTAAGTATACCTGGCCAATTATAGGGCAACCTTAATTTTTTTGAATTGGGTCCTATCAAAAAATGAATTTCCATTGAACACAATTTTTTAATTTGTGACTACTTATCACCTTTATAGCTGGTCGATATAAAATAAAATGTGTGTATTATTTCAATCGTCTAGATATTATATAATATGATATAACACGTCACCACACTTAAAAAAGGCATTCTGGTAAAGAGTTGAAACAAACGTGAAAAAAAGAGTATATAATATACAGGTTTAGGTAGAATTATCGGGTCTATATAGCATTGCTGTAAAAATATTTCAAAACACAAAAAAAACGGTGCTCGACTGTAGATATATATTATATATAGGTACGCTAATCACGCGTATATATAGTTTTTGACATTACATAGATATATATAATAGCGGTATTATACTCGTACATATGGCGTACAATAATAATTCAAACATTGTATTCTTATATGATATTATATATAATATATATAATTGACATAAATTGCCGACGAACAGTTTACACTTTGTAGTTTTACAAATTTACTATAAACGAGAACGCATATAACGAGTTTTTCTACAATTTATATTTTATACATGACTTTAGTAGGATATAATATAATATTATGTTGGCTCGATAAATTTAATAGTTTCAAGGTACCCGACTTAACCTACGTCTAAACCTACCGAACTATATCGTGAATTCATCGTACAGATGGTTTATATTTTCCTGCAATTACATATATATTATTTTAATTATGTATGAATCGTATGAAAACGTGGCATATTATTTTACGACACTGTTGCTAACGAGATGTTTGCCAAATTGATTCTATAAGACATACATTATGAATTTACAATTTTTAAGCAATAAATTGTGGCCAAAGTATTCATTGAACGAAACTACTTTTAATAACTTTACTATGGTTCACGAACTATATTTACTATAATATTATAATATAAGGTAACTAGATAAATGAATGCTGTAAAGCTTATGGTAAGTGTGGGAGTGTTTGACTTTGTGCAGAATGATATACGTCGTTATGAGCCTGCCTTTTAATCATAGTTTTCCGTTATATTGATGCGGGCACTTGGGTTGGCAGGCTGGAAAATAATAAGACTCGAGAGGAATGAAGATCCGTGAGTATATAGGCGACACGTGATATAGATAGTGATTGTCCGGTGAAGTTTTTATAGCTCAGTGTACGAAATAAACATTGGGTCGACTGTGACTTCCGGTTCTGGGCATGCTTCGACGGATATCTCGCGATTACGCGGACGTCAGCGAAAGATTTGAATAGGTATACAAGAAGTGAGCGATAAGATTATATTATCATTTATCGCACTAGACTACTGGGTCAACCAATGAGATAACGTCGTTACCGGAAGTACCTATATGTAGGTGCATCGTTCTAATAGGTTGGCTACACTATTATAGTCGACGGAAAACCAATGTATACTATACATTGTATAGTACTAACAAAGGTACAAAAATAGTAATTTGTATACAATAGTATTATAATATAGGTAAGTACATCATAATTCATAATAATTAATAATCTGACATCGGCGTATACAATTTTGATTGACACTAGTTCTTAAATAAAATATTATAAAATTATTGTCTAAATGTCATACATGGAAGTATTGTAAAAATGAAACCACACTACTATATGTCTTAACAATCAAAATACAAACCGGAGTTAGAAATTGGCTATTTTAAATTTTTCAAAAAAAATTATCTCAGTTTTAAAATGTTTTAATTTCAGTATTGAGAGGACGCTTAATGCCTTTAGCGGCATAGGCCAGTAATAAATTAGCTATACATACGATTTTGTTTGGTTTAGTTTTTTTTCTTTTAAACTACAAAAGGTTTATAAATTGGAGTTTCTTTTGAGAATAATAAAATGTTTTTATTTTTTCAGGCTTGCATCGAAAATGTTGGGTATTTTGCATTCTTTAGGCTCCTCTTTGTACTCACACATTCCTTTAGTAGGTGTTTGACCGTTAGCCGTGTTACTCCACAGGTTTCAAACGTCGGTGGACCTTCCTATTTGACATTAAAAAAACCATTTGTTATTCTGGTGAGTCCGATTTTTAGTCAATATTGTTATTATTTAACATTGATTATTGTGTCGTATAGGTAGTTATTAATAGTTTGAATCCCGCAATAGAAAATACGTACACAAATGCAAATTACGATAGTATAATAACTGTCACAGTGAGTCTGTTTCGATAATGCGACGTAGAATATAGTAATATAATATATGTTTATTCAATAATATTCAATAATATTCAAATAATTGCAAATACACGGGGCACAAATACATAACATCTAACGGGGCGAATTTGAACGGTATAATATCAGGTACTTTAAGTATTTATATAAATATATATGAAGGAAGGTAATCGCGTTGTATCGACAGGTGTAGATTAAATAATTAAAAGGAGAAGAAATAAAATTCGTTAATATATTATACATACACGAGTCTCGAGACTTTCAACCAACACGTTTTTTTTATCGATTTCAGTTTATTTGAATAATATTGTATTTCATATTAATGTTGATAATAATAATAATATAGATACACATTTTTATACGGTATAGTAATCATCGCATCATACGCTGAAGTAATTTATAATACGGACTAATTACATATTATTATAAGCACCAAAGATATGCGATTTAATTAATACAATATGCTCCACTATTAATAATTTATTATATAAATTTAAAATTTAAAATTCATAATACTATTTTCCAACATCTAATTTTTAATAATTTATTACCAAGTATATATAGGTATACCATAAAATGATATCAATATTGAGTCAAATTAGAAATTATATGTATAATGTATACATTAGTACATTAACTATATATGAACTCATGATACATAATTTGTTGATTAAGATTGGCACATTTTAACGATACAGTTGAATATCTGGAATAGAACACTCTGTAAGTAGGTACCTGTGATCATACAATGTGAGTATAATTATACTTTTACTTATTTTCTTGTTTTGCCAAAATTGTCAAGGCGTATATTTTTGTTAATGACACACCGAAAAATGATCTATATACCGGAAAGCAAAAAATTATAACAACAAATTAGCCTATCCATGATGATAATATTATTCTAGTTTTGCTATTCGAAAATTCCCCAAAAACTCAGTTGCCCCCGCAGGCTACATCACAATTATTTCAGTCCCAGAGTGCCTGATTTATTATTCTTTTACCAAAACTAATCGGATACCAAAATGTTCAAAATAATTTAATCAAAACAACTGTTAATTCAATGTTCAATAAAATTTACAAATCTGTAAATAACTACCGTAAGTCAAACATGCATAATCATTTATCAAAACAAATCGCTATAGACAATCGGGTTTTTATGCATTATCATTCAATACCGCAGCAGTAAACATTGAGATCACTCAACGAAAACAACAGCTGCGATTATCGATTAAACAATTGAATTTTGTTGTTTGAAATCAGCTGAGAAGACAAGCACGTGGTTTATTCAAAAACATATTATAGGTACCAAAATTCGGTGAAATTCGGTAAGTCAGTCAACGTTTTGTGGGTGTTATTTTTTTTTCTTAAAATGTTCAATTAAATATTACAATACCAAAAGTAATCTACATGTTTATCCATTTTTGCCTATTCAAAACAAATGTTTACACAAATTGTATGAAAATTATGAATACCATGTTTACTATACCGCGGTCCATTACTAAAAAATCGTTCACAAGAAACATTTAACATAAAGGGAAAACATCCAAACAATATAATACGTATGTACATACAGCTAGGTATTGTCGTCGTGTAGACCTATATTAACACATTAGTACCTAAATAAAAGTTGTTACGCCAGGGTCACTCGATTTTAAAAACCGTGAAAAAAATAATTACCTGGCAAAATAAACACCGGTAAAATGTGCGTATAAATTTACTTTTACCCATAAAATTTACCGAGTAAATAAGCCGAGCGGTCACTGCATCTCCAATAAATATAATTTATTTATAATAATATACCTACTTAAGTATAATAATACCCACCGCGTGTGCATATATAATTAATGAGATTTAATCATCGTGAGTTCGCGACTGCCGAAGTACGAAACTATACACATCTATACTATATGTACCCAGTAACCTACCTAAAGGATATTATATGTAAGTAATATACACGAAAACCATTCAAATTTTAAATCCTTGCCCCAATTTATGGCTAGCGCATATTATAATATGCATAAAATTCATAATGAATATATTAGTATAAGTAAAATATAAATACGAAAAATGGTTTTAATTATACTATTTATATCTACAATATATATCTAAATAATTTGTGTGCATATACGCGCTTGTTTACTCGAAACAGTGTGTGTGTGTGTGTGTGTGCGCGCGCGCAATTAACATGTCTTGGGAAACATTCGGTCAACTGTCTCACGAACTTTTTTCTTTCTATAACTCTTCTACCTATTAAATTCGACCCTGCGCCGTGGCAATGAACATTGAACATATTATATTATAATATGATATTATAACTGGAGGAAAAAAACTATTTGAACAATGTTAGTGTTTTTGTGAGAGAATGTGTGCATTTTACCTATGTATAACTATATACATAATACTCATAGGTACGCGTACATAAAAACCGGATAAACACATCATATAGATAACATAATGTTATAATATAGGTACGTGCTAATTATAAGTTTATATTATAGTATATGTATATAATATGTGTGTGCTGTAGTATTTCATAATATTAATATTGTTTTTTTTCTGCTGAAAATTACTAAAACTTGTGTATAGGTGTTTATAATTGTTGCACACGGATACCTATTACTATTAGTTAAATATTTAAAAAGGTAAATAAATACAATAACAACGCATAACACAATCTGCTCACCACACACATATTATACGTATTTACCCAACCATAAACTATGATATACTTTTGCATTATTTCAATATCGCAAAAAGTCAAACATTTTTTTAAAATACAGAGTCTGAAGACCGACTGAGAAATAGTAAGCGATGGAGCCGTGAATTTTATTTAATTCTCGTGAATGTAACGTCTACCATTATAATTAACTATAACACAATTATATGAATAAGAATAACAGAAAACATTGCCTACACAGTGAACTGTATACCTTTTAATATTTTCCGTTGAAAGAATACAAATAAAAATCGTAAGTACCTACTTATTACGCCTAATATTGTTTGAGCTACTCAAGTATAAAATACTAATTATTATCATGATGGGGTGACAATGGGACCAGCTCCTCAGCTTTAGATGCCATATTACCTTACACAAATACCCCACCCCTGAGAATTATCTCGGTCTTGCATATCAAATGCGCATTCTCATGTTTAACAATTTTTTTTCCTCAAGTCCACAGCCCCGTCGATATCTAGAAATTTCTCCCCGTAAATTGTATCTATTACGGTGAAGAACCATGTGTAACGAATACGTTGTCTTTATAATAATAAAAAAAAGTACAAGGTACGCGTCTTGTTATAGTTGTTGTAGTCGTATGCAACAACGTATGTTTTATGACACTAAAATTCATTATTAATTTCAAGCTTTTATCATAATATCCGACCTACGTTTTACCTATATACCTGCCCAGTATTAATGTGTACGGATAATAATTAATAACCAATTATTTATTTATATGACTTGTTGACTTACAAAACAATTATATACAAATAAAATGTATTATTAATCCACGTCAAATGATATTATATATACTTAGGTAAAACATATTAGGTATATGAAATTATTTTTTTCTATCCTTCCGACCGCAGATGGACTACTTAAAATGTAATATTTTTTCGTTAGCGATGCACGCTCGTGTTAACATCGATGATCGATGGTCGTCGTCGTATTCGTATACGCAGCAAATCGATCTACTTGGTATAATTATACAATAATATATTATCATATTATTGTAACGACATCGTAACCGGTCGAAGTAATTCAAACGACGTCATATTATTTTAACGTTTGATGAGAGTGTTGTTTTTTTGACCGTGAAAGGTCAGAAGGCCTATTAGTATAGGTGCAGCAATTTCTGATTTATCCTAACCATAATGATTGTGGAATGCCAAATAACTTCACACGACTTCTTCCTGTCGCAATGGACTGCTGCGGAGCAGCGAATTACCCTTTGGTTTTTGAGCTTAACTTTTTTTTTCAGATCCCTGTTTTTTGAACACGATATTTTGGACCGTAAATATTTAGCCAAACAACAATAATGCGTTGCTTGAAAAAAAATCCGACGACAATAACGACTACACGACAACGGCAACAATAACAAACAAATAAAATCATGAGGGTATTGCCAAACGACTAAATAAACCTCGGCGGGAAAGAATAAAAAGGGAATTTTTTCTTTCAAACAATATAAAATGTATATAATGTATAATGATATTGTATATAATAGTCCGGGTGTCAAAATCATCGATCGGGTACGATCGGCAAAAAAAAAAATAGCGAACTCTGCACATGCACGCGCGTCCCTGCGGTTACTATATATACCTAAAGTATACCTACCTGGCTACCTACAAACATATACCTATAAACGTATACCCATAATAATATACAAAACGCGGGCATACACCATCGTATAGCTGTGGCGGGGTGAATTTTTAATAACGAGGCGCGCGATAGATTTCAATTTGAATTACAAATCGGAAGAGACCCTCCCCGGGGTCGCGTCGTCTCACCTGATGATTGTCGACTGGTACACCAGTGTTTATTTTATATTATAGGTATACGAGCGTTTAGTGCACAGGTGCAGCGACGCGGTTTTCAGCGGTGTATAATACTTATACAGGACATAGGTATTTGCCTATAGGTCCCTGTGAAAACTGTACCTGTGTAATAATAGTAGGTACATATAATTATTAGTTCACGTATTATACGTGTATGTTATAAAATTACGATACATACAGGTAAGGGTAGAAATTGTTTATTTTGCACATATTATATACGTGTTGGCGGCGATTAGTGCGGCGAGATCCGTAAT